GGAGCAATAACCCCTTTCTATACTACTGGCTGGCAGAGTCTCATCTTGCTGCTGACGGGGTGCAGGATCGGGGGGTACCCAACGTGCAGCCACACCCTTCCAGCCCTGTTTCTAGAAGGAGCTGACAAAAGCCTTGCTCTCCCTTCTGCACCCACACTTTCACCGGTGCTCTAGGAGGGGTACTGATTTTCTTAGTGCAGACGAGGGCCACTGACAAATGAGAAGAGACGGGACTGTCCCAGTTAATGACCCATTGTCAGAGCTGCAGATATTACTGTTATCTCTGTGCTGCTGAGCTGTACTGGACCTGCATCAGTAGAAAAGGTGAGGCTGATGCTTCCAGGCATATCCTACGGTATGTTTGTAAGCTATTGAAAAAGAAACAATGCTGGTTTATTATTTGTATTGCTTTTCCACCTAGGAGTCCCATTCTAGGGTCAGGGCCCCATTGTGCTAGGTGCTGTGCAGACACCTAAGAAAGAAGACAGTTCTTGCCCCCAGACAGCTCACAATTAGGCAGGTAGCAACAGAATAAATCCTTGTTAGCACGGGAAACTTCATCCTCTTCTTGCAAGGACCACTGGCAAGAAGGTCACATGCCCAGCAGGACCAATGAAATATCCGCAATGGTTGTGGGGGAAATCACCAAGTACCAAGATGATACCTAAAGCTCCTGCCCAAGGGGAGGAGCTGCAGGGATTCTGGCTGGAGCCGGTGATACCTAAAGCTCCTGCCCAAGGGGAGTGTTTAGCAGGGATTCTGGCTGAAGCCGAAGTGAAATATTCTTGTTTGCAGAAAACTTCGGGAAAAAATATGGTGATTTGGTTCTTGTCAAAATTTCCCATGTATTGTAAAACAGAAACCTGAAATGTTGGTCTTCAAAAGTAGTTTTCATTTAAAAAAAAATTCTGGTAAAAATATTTGGTGCTTTCATAAAGTTTTTACCCAAAACTGTGAACTTTTCCTGAAAACTTTTTGCTTTCCAGTTTTTTAATACAGGGAGAGCAAACTTGAGTTAAGAATGAAATTTTCCCAGTCACATGTTAGTTTGGGATGAAATGCCAGGTTTTATCACCATTCCTTTTTAAAGTCCAGCACTTCAGCCAACTCTAGTGACATGTCTTGCTGAGGAAACCGGCACCATTAGGGCCTTTCAGAAATCCTACAGGGAGCTAGCAACCACACCCACACTGGGAGAGATCCAATTTTTCTTACTTTGGTTCATCATTTCGGCTATGTCTTACACAGCAGAGTTATTTCAGAGTAACCGATGTTATTCTGAAATAACATAGTCTGTGTCTACACAGCAAGCAGTTATTTCAACATAATGTCAAAATACTGTCAAGCTGGAGGACTTCTTACTCCGACTGCTATAACCCTCATTGTACGAGCAGTAAGAGAAGTCAAAGGAAGAGTGCTCTACCTTGGACTTGCTGCACTATTGACAGCGCCAAAAGCCAAAATAAGCTATTTCAACTTAAGTTATGCAATTGACATAGCTCAAGTTGCATAGCTTATTTCAGCTTTTGCTCTGCTGTATAGAATATCCTTCCTGTCTCTGTGCCTTCTTGCCAAGGTGGGTACTGCACAAGAATTCATCTTCCAATGACCACCTTGCTCTCTAGATGATGGGGTTGGGATGCTATTTGTGAGAGGCCTGAAGTTAAGTGGAAGGAAAAATTTCCCCTTATCAGCTTCAACTGTTCTCAGTCCCTCTCCAGTAACATGGATTCTAATGTCTGACTTGAAATCATCCATTGTCCCGGCATAGGAGAGAGTGTGAAAAATGGAGCAGAGACGGCAGGAAAGGCAGACTCTCCAGTGAGAAAGGAGGGTGGGAAGTGGAGCCAGGGGGAATCAGAGGAGCGAAAAACAAACCTGCTGACTGAAGAAAGGAGTAGAAATGGGGAGGGAGAACTTCCCATGGGGATGGGAACATGGCATCTCTCCCAATCCCAAGAAAGAATGTTTGGCTTGGGGATGACGGCCATTTTTCCTGAGACACAGCGTGTATTTTCCACTTTGGCTAGGAGGCCAGGTGATTTTTAAATGGATTTGTCCTGGAGGAGTATGAAGGAAGTGTGGCTTAAATGACAGGTATCAGAGGGGTGGCCGTGTTAGTCTGAATCTGCATAAATAACCAGAAGTCCGGTGGCACCTTATTGACTAACAGATTTATTGGAACATAAGCTTTCATGGGCAAAGACCCACTTGACACACATCTGACGAAGTGGGTCTTTGCCCACGAAAGCTTATGCTCCAATATATCTGTTAGTCTATAAGGTGCCACAGGACTTCTCATTATTTTTAAATGACAGGTCAAATTGTTCTGCAAATCCAAAGCCCCAGGGAATGAGAGACAATCTCAGGTTCCACTCCTGATATTTGGGTACTCTGGGATCAGGAGCAGCAGAACTACCAAGGGAGAGGCCAGGAGCCCTCATGTGAATGTGGATCATTCCCTCCCCCGAGGCTGCACCACAATGCTTTGTAGCCTTGGTTCATGGGGTGAGAAATGAGGCCTAGTCCCTCCTCTGTCCCAAGGTGTCCTTCTGAGGCAAGCACTTGAGGGGCACCTCAAACAATCGGGTCAGAAATGTGTCTTTTAAGCACTATTTTCAACTGCATGATTTTTCCACAAGTGTGTTTCAAAGGGCCACGGGAAGCAACACAGACTGTATCCAACATTCAGCTGGTTCCACTGGACCGGGGGAGCTAATGGGTAAGTTCAGGTACGTGGGAGGAACACCTGCCTTTCCTTAGCAACGCTTAATGCGCCCACGTTTTCGCTTTGTCATCTCCCTTTTGAAAATGGATTTAGGAATAATTGGACTAAAAGCATTGAGCTCATGGCGCCCCCATGTGGCTTAGAAATACAGTTGCATGAAGCATTATAAGCTTAAAGTTCCAGCCCTTCCATCAGGATGCAGGCCCCCACAAGGCTTAGAAAATACGGCCCATTCGAGAGTCACAAGAATCTCTCCCAGGGATCATGGTTGTCTCCCCAGAGTCTTTACCTCCACATGGCCCATTTTGCTATTTTCCACCATTGCCCCTAGTTTGTGG